TAAATTTATAATATTTGCAATAATATCTCCTATTCAATCGGGTTGTGCAAAAAAGGACATGAGCGCATGAAGCCAGAAAAGGGCTTAATAAGAGTTAGGATCCTAACTCTAATTTTTAACACTAGTATAAAATTTGGGGGCTAGAACCATCTTACATATACAACTTTATAATCTCGATCTTATAATAATTTTTTTTTGTATTAACCTCTCGATATTAAATAATTACATTGAATCTCGATTAATTTTAAATCGAACTGCATCAAACTTCATTAGGGAAAAGTTCTCTCAGTGTCTGTTTTTTCATTCCTAAGACTCCAACTCGAGATAGGATAACCAAACTCTTTTCACTCAGACCAACAAATCGTTGATGATCTTATTAAGTATTTTGCATACCAACTAGTGGACTTATCTGTAATCTATGATCGGTAGTTGTCTTCAACTTAAATAAATCTAAATGAAAGAAAGATTTTCTCAAGGAGGTAGTTGCAGTTAATCCTCTTTATTATTAGATATCTTTCTCTTACAATATAAATTCTTTTATTTATCCAAAGTGTTTTTTAACTCTTAGATTAAATTTCAAAGATTTAAATGGTGAAATGGTATTATCTTTCGAGATTTTTTTTTTTTATGAAATTTCTCTTTATTTTAAGAGTTAAGATGAATTAAGATTCTAATTCTAATTTTAATGTTAGTACAAATTTTGGGGGCTAGAGCCATCTTACATATCCCTTCATAATTTTGATCTTATTAAGTACTTTGCAAAACCAATTACTACTTTTGTTCTAATTTAATTGTCTTAATTTTCATGTATGTATGTTTATATTAAACTTTTTGTAATACATAAATGATAATTAAAATTTTATATTTATATCTTGTTAAGTAGTTTTATTTTATAAAAAATTGAATTATCATTTATATATTATAAAAAAATATTACCTAAAAATACATATATAATTAAACTAAAACAGCTAAATTGAAACATGTGGAGCATTAAATTAAATATTCTCTATACTTCAATCATGCCTTCAAAA